GTTGTACCGTGCGTTTAGCAACGTGATTATCAACATTTTCGTTAAATTTGTTCGTAATATCTAACAAACTGTCCCTTCTATTTGTTTTCACCAACCTTTCTAATCGGCGGTAATCACAATCTGTTACTTTTGGAGGCATGCCACTTCGTCTGTTGTTTTCCACCAAACCATGCTGCTCAATACGTTTTTCCACACTCAAAACAGTAGTAAAAGGAATTCCTAATAATTCTGACACTTTCTGAATGGACTTTCCTTGATCTAAGAGTCTCCACACAGCTTTTTTAACCTCATTAGATAATTCCTTCCCCGTTCTACCCATTCTCTTTTAGACCTGTAGATTTCCGGAAATACAGCAGACGACAACAAAATCACATGACCTTTCAATGTCACATGACTTTAGTATGTTAAAAATAACAAATGAAATTCCATAGCTATTTTTAACCAATTTTTATTTCAGCTAAAGCAGAGAACTTTTCGTCGCGAATGTAACCAGGCCGCCATTTTGTATGAATACTTATTGCATCATACTGTATTGAGCTTAAAGTACATAAAAAAAATTGAGGGACTTCCCTCACTATGTAAAACCCATGAAATTTGGGATACTGACATATGAAATACCAAAGTTCAATTCTCTATGTTAAATGAATATATCAATGTCATCTTAAGAACATAAAAATAGTGTCAATCTAATTCTAAGAAAAAAGTTGGCCATATTTAAACCTCATGCATTATAATGAAGAAATATGTATATCCTTATTCTTACATGCATTTTACCACAACAAAACAAATAATAACACCTAAGAGTCTTCATGGTCTTCATTTGCTTAAACAAAATAAATATTATAACTATTTCATGAACTTTATAATTTCCATGATTTTTCTGATTGCATGGATTCCATGGCTAGTACTACAGATATATGGTGAATGTATAGAAAATATTTCTGATTATCCGCATTCAGTGCATTTCTATTCGTTGTGGTTTGGAATTGGAAATTCCTTTTACAAATTTTTTGTGTATAATCACTGTTCACAATATGTAGCAAGCAGTTTTGTTCATTACATGTTTTTTGTGAAAATGGTCCTCCAACATGATAGAGGTTTGAAGCAGGAATTTGAAATCTCAGTTAGTCTTCAAATATTATACAGTGGCGCCTCGTTAATCCGGACGCCTCCGTCCTCAACGAAATCGTCCGGATAAATGAATCGTCCGGATAAGTGAATCACTTCTTAAAAGACGTACTCTCTTAAAGCATGTACATATGAACATAGTGGTATCAAATGTGAAGGCAAAGAAAACACCTTTATTTCACCTTGACTTATTGATTTTATTTTTATAGTTTTAAAAGAAATAATAAATATTTAAAAAAGAAAAAAATTAAAATGTAATTTACAAAATGAAAATTGGATAGGCAGTTTTATGTTGAGACTTCCTTTTCTAACACAGGAAACTTTACTCGCCTTCTATTTGATGTGTAGTTACTTGGGCTGACCAAATTTTGATCTGCTACTGTTTTATTTCGGTCCCCCCCCCTTTTTTTAATATTTATTCAAGCTCATATTAAGTAGAACTGTTCATTATCACCATTGAGAATGTTCAAATGACTAACTGCGTATATTCACTACATAGGGAAGTAAGTAACTAAATACTGTAATCAGTGTACGTATTGCAAACATTCAACGTAAACACAAGCCATATTCAGGATTATCAATACTTTTTCTATAAACTCTAAGTTATATATCTTGAAAAGACGTGATCGGCATTTATAACTAACGCCAGTTACGTATTTCTTAGTGCATTAATAGAAATATATTTTCTTGAATTATGTATCATAATAATTTGTCTTATGAAAAGAAAAAAAAAGTTTCAAATAATGTACGATCGTATTTTGATAAACTTACGTAACTCGATACCACAACGAAATCTCGTGATTTATTATTCAGTAAAAATTTTCTTTACAACTCTCCAAAATTCTCATAAATTTATATACTGTTAGCAATTTAATTAATGCACAGTATAAGCTAAATTCTTCGGGCTTTATAATATAAAAGACGTGTGTTTTAGCTGAGGTAAACACACGCTAATTATAGACGCTATTGTTTAGAGGTCACAGGTAACCGCCTTCAAACTGACTCCACGGACAATGTTTTTACAATAATTATCACTACTGCAAGAAAGGTGTGAAAAGTCGTTCCTCGAAAAATTACCGTCCTGATAAACGAGTCATTTTTCAATGAAAGATTGCGTTTTGTAGTAGAAATTGACCGTCCGGATCCGGAACGCGAATTTCCGGATTAATGAGACAGAATAACGTGGAAAAAATTGGTTCCCAAAAAATATCGTCCGGAAGGTGAAGCGTCCGGATTATTGGCGTCCGGATTACCGCGGCGCCACTGTACATGTACCATGTGTCGATAAGTTATCTGAAGAAATGTGCAGTGTATATGTATGTTTGTATTTGAATGGCAGTGTCTACACATAGACACCCTGCAAGAAATGAGGATGTAGACACTCAAATATTTCTATGGTTGTCTCTATACCTTGCACCAGGTAGGTCTACTGATTTGTCAGGGAAAAAAGATGGTAAAGTATTTATTTTTGTCAAATTTAAAAAAAATCAGATTAGTAAAGGACAATCACTTAATTAATATAAATACTATAAATAAAAAAAAAAAAAGATTTCCACAAGAAATGAAATGATGCATGTCTCTAAAAAAAAAACAACAGGAACACACCATTAACACCTGGAAAATCCCATGTATCCATACCGAGAGCTAATGTAAAGAGGAACCTCATACATAAAATAACAATTCAGTGTCATAATAATCAAATCATTTTATCATTCCACAATATCAAAATTTTTATTACGTCATGAAACAATGAGTTATTTATGCTTTTAACTGATACTGGCAAACAGTATGGGACTTTCTATAAATCCCTAATTGGTTACTGATGTCTGGATTTTGTTCCATTTTGAAAAGTCGAAATGTCTGTACATTATTTTAGCCTGCTCTTAACGTTAAATGTACAAGCATGTGTTAATGTGTGATGGGCATTTGAGCCATTTAGAGGGAGTCTAATAAATCCATTACCCAGCATTACAGGGAAAAAAAAAACAAGTACCAGCTCTGTTATATATAATGGAATTCACAAGTAACTCTGCACATTTTAATGAGTATTGATAGCGATTCTCTGTAACCACTTAAACTTCTTTGCCACGCATGGTCACCGATTTTGATAAAACTTTGCCCATTATTACAACTTGACACCAGAAACATATATCAAATAAAATTCCGTTGCTATGTGTCTTGGTTGCCATGGTAACAGCCAGAAAAGTTGAAAAAATTGAGATTTTCAGCTACTTTGAATCTTTATTAGGCCTTAATAAAGAATAAGAATAACAAACAACCATTCTCCCCAAAACCTGACACCTTGTTGCCACTTATGCTATTAATAAAGAAACTATTTAGAATTTATCTCTAAGTAAGTGGTAACTATGGGTACATTTGGAATACATTTTAGATGTTGAAAAATGCAGAAAAACGCTCAATATTCACTAATGATAGGTGTTAAATGATCAAACTCAATCAACAACCTAAGAAAAAACAATGAAAATATTTGACCTTAAGTAATTAGGTATTGGCAATATTATTCTAAAAATAACTTTCATGGTTGCCATGGTAACTGAGTGTTACCATCCAAAATGTGTTGCTAAGATTTGGTTAATGCTACTATCTTCAGGAAAAACAATAAATTTCATGACTGGCACATATATATAGAAATCCTTAGGACCTTGCAACACCGACAACATAAGAAAAATTGGGATTAATTGTTACTTTGCAGTGTAACCATGGAAACAATGTACCAGTTGTTTAAAGTGATTTTTTTTTGCTGCCTTAGGAATTTACTTACCTTTTATTCAAGAAACATATTATTTGACTCACCTTGAATAGTACTTATCTGGTAAAACTAAAGTTGAATATCATATATTGATAACGTTTGTTGAAAAATACAACACTGTTGCTATGGTAACCAAGAAGGGAAAATGTTCGATTTTGTTAATTTTATATCAATATTAAACCCTATGTGCCAGCTTTTTGCATCCAGTTAGAGATTGGGTGGCAGTCAAAATTGAAAGTCAGGTTAGTTGTTCATAATTACCAATCATAAAAGTTTTGGGAATCTACATACAAGGGTACGTATCCAAGGAAACAGAATATTTTTCAGATTTTTATGCATATTTTTTCGGCTTATTTCCATAGCAACACTCTATTTAAAGAATTGAATTTGAATTTTTTGAAATGTGAGAATTAGAGTCACATGAACATCTTTAAAAATTGATCATTAGTTATATAGAAATATGCTTTTTAAAAAGATAGGATTAGATTTAATCACTAAGAGAGTAAATTTAAAATCCCTTCTTGGTATTAAAACCATGGCAACCATTGCCAGCCTATAAGAAATATCATATTTCTTCCTTGGTATATGTTACAAGGATCTTTTGTCTATTATTTGCTTGCATTTCAACCTATAATTTTTTTTTTATTCTTAAGTATATGATGTTATAAAATTAAATGATCAAAATTATTACTTTTGAATACTTTGTTTCCATAGTAACGTATGTAATAGTTGATTTACCAAACATGTTTATCATGCATTTAAGACATCAAGCCTTCAACTTTCAGAAACAGTCATTGCCACTTGTTTGCTTTGCTGCAAACGTTAACTGTGGGACTCTGAACATGTTGAAAAATGCCATTTTTCAAACTTTAGGACATGTTGCCATGGTAACCATGTCACGTAGCAACCAATTTCTGCCTGATTTGAGTTTATGGTATCAAAGACTTTTATCATAGAGAGTTTGGAGAAATTCTGAGACTATGCGTGCCACAGCTTCTATATAAAAGTTCAAGTCGTTACAGAGAATGGCTCTTAAAAACTAAATGTCTAGTTCAAAACTAGACAAAACATATGAGGACTTCTTGCATTATGTATGTCCTACCTGAGACCTGGTAAATCAAAGGCATCGGCTAACCCCTTCAGGTTGAAGTCAATGGACTAAAAAAAAAATAAAGATTTTGTTTGTTAGAATCCTACAATATATTAGCTATTAAAACTAGTTATCATATTATTATCACAATAATATTGTTAAGTATGGCTAAAAATGATAAGATATGGATCAATACACTAGACAGACTCATACAACTGACTGAAATCAAGACCATACAAAGTCAAGGTCATAATCAAACGTGAAAATCATCTTCAGATATTAAATCCTTGTTCAAATGCACATGAAATGTTAAGATAGTCATAACATCTTTCATGGTCAAATCCTGGGTGTTACTATTTTCAAGGCCAAACTTGAAGGACCTTTTGAAAATCATTTTGATGTGAAGTAAGATGCAAATCACGATACACTACCCAAAACATATATAGCCTAACTAAACTCTCTGCAGGTGGACAGATAATCCATACACCAGTTATACAATATAATCTAGCCATACAACATAAATATACACATGTACAAATAAAAAGGAAAATATATGTCTACATTTGGATCAAGTATATATACAGTACTTACAGGGTTGTTGAGAAAGAAGACACTAATTCCTCCAAACAGTGGCATACGGCTCAGTAAAGGCTTAAAGATCACCCTCATGGTACCCCTGACCTATAATATGCATGTATGCAATAACATAAATTTTACTCTACCCTTTTGGTCTACCTGACATAGGCTGTGCTAGGACTTGAATAAAACATGTATGCTATACCTGTAAGTCTTTAATACCCATATGCATTCCTTTTAGCTTCACCATTAAGTCACAGTCACTGCTATATCTGTAAACAGATTTAAACATAGGTAATCAAAGATTACGAAGCTCACCTCGACGAATGTTATCTACATGTAAGGCAAATTTCACATCATATTTTTTATCTAGTTAGGGTACATCCCAAGATCAATATCCATGCAAGTTTGATTTAATTATAGACCTGCTCAAAAAACTTTTGACCTGTTTAGTAATCAAGAAAATTTTGGTCAGTTCCAACATCCAAAGCAAGTCTGGAAGTTTTCATCCTTAGATGCACCATCTATGCAAGTTTAATCATAACAGGCCATAATATTATATAGCTACTCCAAAAAAATTACCCTGGTCACTCTTCTGGAAAATGTACATCAGATTCAGAATCCAAGGCAAGTCTGGAAGTGTCCATCCCTAGATACATCATCCATGCTAATTTGGTTAAAATATGGCTAAAATTCACTCATGTGGAAAATCTAGGTCAGATCCAGCATTCGAAGCAGGTTGGTTAGTGTACATCCCTAGATGCATCATCCATGAAAGTTTGGTCCAGGTAGGGCTTATAGTTACTTGGGAATGAGACTACTCCTAAATCTAAACCTGGTCTCACATGTGGAAAATCTAGATCAGATCCAGCATCTGAACAAGTGTGGTAGTGTCCATCCCTGGATGCATCATCCATGCAAGTTTGGTCCGGGTAGGGTTTATAGTAACTTGGGAATGGACCTGCTTCTAAAACTTTAACCTGGTCACTCATCTGGAAAATCTAGGTCAGATCCAGCATCCGAAGCAAGTTTGGTAGTGTCCATCCCTAGATGCATCATCCATGCAAGTTTGGTCAAGGTAGGGCTTATAGTTACTTGAGAATGGACCTGCTCCTAAAACTTTAACCTGGTCACTCATCTGGAAAATCTAGGTCAGATCCAGCATCCGAAGTAAGTGTGGCCATGTCCATCCCTAGATGCATCATCCATGCAAGTTTGGTCAAGGTAGGGCTTATAGTTACTTGGGAATGGACCTGCTCCTAAAACTTTAACCTGGTCACTCATCTGGAAAATCTAGGTCAGATCCAGCATCCGAAGCAAGTTTAGTAGTGTCCATCCCTAGATGCATCATCCATGCAAGTTTGGTCAAGGTAGGGCTTATAGTTACTTGAGAATGGACCTGCTCCTAAAACTTTAACCTGGTCACTCATCTGGAAAATCTAGGTCAGATCCAGCATCCGAAGTAAGTGTGGCCATGTCCATCCCTAGATGCATCATCCATGCAAGTTTGGTCAAGGTAGGGCTTATAGTTACTTGGGAATGGACCTGCTCCTAAAACTTTAACCTGGTCACTCATCTGGAAAATCTAGGTCAGATCCAGCATCCGAAGCAAGTTTGGTAGTGTCCATCCCTAGATGCATCATCCATGCAAGTTTGGTCCAGGTAGGGCTTATAGTTACTTGGGAATGGGACTTGCTCCTAAAACTTTAACCTGGGACGCCGACGCTAACGCCGACGCCGGGGGTTTAGCATAAGCTCATCTCGACTTCGTCGAGGTGAGCTAAAAATGAGTCTTTTATTTAATGGTTGTGTAAAGAATGGGTAAAACTCCTATGAACATATGAAAAATGTTGCTCCTCAAAAATGAATATACTTGTACATGTACTAGACTAAGTATACATGTACATGATTTAAGCTTACTCACATGATGTCCAGATCTATGTAGATTTCATCTCTCCGCACATTTTCTGTGTAAACTTTGACACCTCCAATACGAGGGGGCTGAAAAGTGTTTTAAACATGTTAAAAAATGAAATATGGTTAATTGATTATAAAGGTTTGGATGATAATTGGGCTAAGGATTACATGCCCCATCCCCCTTTTTGAAAAAATGTCCCAATCAGACAAAAATGACCTAGCTGATACAAAATAATAGTACTTTCAAAGTAAAATAAGAGAAACGGTACAATGAAGATGAAATAAAATGAAAATGACCCTGCTTGTAATTTGTCCCTGTCATTGGATTACATTAACTTTCTGTGGATATAAAAACCTTGCTTACTGCATAATCTGTATTAACAGGATCAAATACCTAACTTAAATTCTTTAGCATGTTTAGAGATATACATTAATGCCAAATCAAAGTTTACAATAAAACTCAATATAGGGAGATACAAGCAAGATGTTTTAGTATTCTTGTCATATATTCACAAGTGACAGCTGGTATTATTCTCTCGAATAAGAGAGAGTAATTTGATAATCATGATCAAATATGGGCATATCAAATCAATAAACATACTCAAAATATCAAATTATATTTGAAAATTGTCGCAGGTTTCCAGGTGTTGGATACAAAAGCAAACAGCCACACTAAAAGTATCTTCAACATGTTCAAATAGACCTTACATAATTATGACAACACTTAAACTACTTCAAAACTTAGCACAGAGTACTGTTTCACTGCAGTGTTTGAAATAACCGTACACCCGACCGCCCGAGACGCACAAATTTTGCTGCTGACAAACAGATTTGCATGTATCAACGCCCAGCTAAACATGTTAAAATTTGCCATAAATTAAAATTCATATATTTGATAAATATCTCTTAAATCAACTAATAGTATCGGTAGCTAAGTGTAACACGCAAAGGGGTAGAATTGGACAGTCTATAGATTCGGGATGGAAGTTATGGTGATCACGCTAAAAAAAAAATTGACTTATTTTCCCAGGCTAGTAGAGTTTTGGCAGGGCTGACAACTTTCACTAGCAGTCAGCCCTGCATGTCTAGCTAATTCTACCATGAGTTTCAAACACTGTTTCACTGGCAGAGCAGTTTCAGAAAGAAATTCTTCCAACCCTTCAGAAATACCTTTACATTGTAGACATTAAGTTAGTCAGACACAGGTGCTTACAATATCTCCCAGATCTATCTTTGTAAACACAAAGGAAGCCATCTGAGCATGACTGGTCTGAATTTTGGGTTGGATGGAATTGGTCAGCAAGTCTTTGACATAATCGCCTATAAATGGCCAGATCTGGTCCAGTATCTGAAAGTAAGAAGATTAAAATAAATGGAAATCTGCTCCAAATGAAGGAACAGTATCATATTCCATGGTTTTACGTGCAGTATACAAATTTTTGTATTAGTACATGTATAACAAAACTTGTATAATTAAATTCTCTCAACAGCTAGATGAACTTGGTCTCTGATTGTGACTTTTTTTATCATGTTTCCTTAAAGTTACAATTCAAATTAACAATATACATGTACATACAATTGGGTCTACTTGATATAACATATAATATTGTACAAAACTTACTTAACCCTTCGCTCAAATGAGATTAAAGAAGAATAGATAAATAATTAATGAGGAACATCGAGTAGAACCTAATTAGCATTGTCATAAAGTGGTCATTATTAAAATTGTTTGATTGCTATTTAAATTCTGTATCAAATGTAAATATCAAGAGATCAATGGAATACACATACAAGAGGCCCATGGGCCACAATGCTCATCTGAGTCACCTTGGCCATGTTTTCATAAGATTAATAAAAATATTTCCAAGCAGAAGTAAATCCTATCTTTTCAGGGCTCTCAATTGTGTATAATTGTTGCTGCTCAAAGGCCCCATTTCCAATTCAAAAAGGCACCTTTTTTCCAAATTGAATGTGTTAATTTTCCCAATAGTCATTTCTCCCAAAAATCAAAGAAAAAATAGTTTGATATATAATAACTAAATCTGCTATTCAAATTCTTCTGTATTGCAAAAGAGAAATTTAGTGGATAACAAACACCAGTCCACAAACCCAATAAATCCTAATTTTAAAGTATAATGGATATCCCAAAATTTCCCTAAAAGGTTGCAATTTTCATAATCTTTAAGGCCTGGCCCCATTTCCAAAAAGTGGTGTGAGAGCCCTGCCTCTAGGACCATGACTTGAACAAACTGGAATATATACTTTGGAAGCTTTAATTCATATAAATTTCATCATTTCTGGCCCTTACTTGAGACGAAGATTTTTAAATGACCACACCAGATTTTCACCATATATTTCTTAACAATCTCCCTTTGCAAAAGGGTGTAGCCTTTCATTTAAATAAATTTAAATCCCTTTTACCCAAGGATGCTTTGTGGCAAATTTGGTTGAAATTGGTCCACTAGTTCTGGAGAAGTGGTCAAAAATGTGAAAAGTTTACAGGTGATAGACAACACAAGACAGACAGATGGACGCCAGACACTCTTTGAGAAAAGCTCACTTGAACCTTTGGTGCAGGTGAGCTAAAAAGGTGATATTTAAGATTTTGTGAGAGGTTCCACTTCCTCGCAATGTTGGGTGAATGTTTATTTTTTGCCTACAATAAGGAATTTACAATATGCAATTCAGCTGAAAACTAAAGAACTGCTTTTTCAACTGGTAAAATTACATATGTATTCCTCTGTTTATAAATTTGCTTTCTGATATAGGTTCTTACAAATTACATACATGATTACTATTGTAAAATATCTCAATCCATACCTTGTTGAACCATTCTGCTCTTTCTACCTCAGGAAAATGAACCTAAAAAATAAGAAGGTAAAATTACTTTCTGCTTCAACCATCCCCCTTTCCCTTTCCTAAATAAAAAAAAAGATAAATGTCATTGTGGTCATGTAAGATATCATTTTATGAATTCATGAAGATAGTGGCAACAATTTGAAAAGAAAAAATATCATATCTGCAATTCTGTGCACACTTTTGGCAATTAAAAAAATTCCAACTGTGACAAATATAATGAAGGACTTGTACCTGTCACGTATGCCTCTTAATCAATCATTGAGATTAAACATACAAAGCTCTCTTTGACAAGGAGAAATAACCTAATTTACTCCATTACTTCACCTAAAAGAACCAGAAAATGACAATTTTTAAATAGCAAGGTATGATTTAAATCTCCAGAGGGCAGAGGATAAATGGTGTGGGTGGAATTATTTACATAATTTAATCTCAGAAATTTTAACACACACCCTATATAATATAGACAGCTGTGTGGCAAAATCACTGAACCAGTACAGCCTGCCTGTGTGTATTGGATGATTCATCAAAACTGTGCTTTTCTTTTATACTGATAACATACATTAATAAAACATCAAACAAAAACATTACCAGTAATAGTTTATAGTCTTTATAGTCCTTTCTAAAATAATATACACACCACAGGCACTTAATGTTTCTGCAATATTTTTTTAACTCATAGTATAATAACACAACTTACACAAGGTATCTAACTCTGAATTACATGAAGTACCCCCCCCCCTCCCCCCTCCAGAATTGCAGTCATTTACACTTTCAGAGAAAAGCACTGGCAAACTGTTTATTAATACCATTGTCTTCTACAATAATTTATCTATATAAGGCATCCTTGTCTTTATTTTCTATTTTCTTCATAAACAGTGTCAAAACTCTGCTCGCCAACTGGAACATGTATTATTATACTATCCAGGGATAGACATTAACTTTCAGATTCACTTGCCCTTTGGGCAAGTGATCTCAAACTTTGACTTGTCCGAATGCAAAACTTGGTTGCCCCAAATTAGGCAAGAACATAAGAAGAAAAAATTAATTTCTGTAAACGTTACGATAAGAAAAATGTGATCAAATACCAGCTACAAGTCAATGAAAAAAAATTGATGCTGCATTTGTACATAAATTTATACCACTGTACTTGTAAATTTAACCTTTTAACACACACTGCCATGCAGCAATACCCCTTTCCTTTTAATTTCCTTTTCATAAAATTTATATTTTTAAACAAATTATTTCGGTAGGCTACGAAACATACATCTTTATCCTGATCATGATACATTGAGTTACACTGTACTTACATTTTGTGAATGAATAAATAGTCTAATTTCCTAATAAGATGTTAACAAAATTTTGGTAGATGTAGAGCATAATTATTATATACTACGAAGGAAAATAACAAACCCGATTTTTAAATGAATGGTATAATCCAGAAACACTATCAAGGAAGTCCGAATGCAAAACATTGTCAATAAGGTGCGTGGCGGGAATCAAGTGTTCAATTTATTGTTTTATTTATAAATTAATGTAAACTAAATAAATATGTGCATTTCTATGAAAAAAATTTACTTGCCCAATTGGACAAGTACGTCTACAATTTCACTTGCCCGAACTGAGAATTTGCTTGTCCCGGGCAATTGGACAACCGTTAATGTCGATCCCTGCTATCATGACTATGGATTAAAAAAAACTTAATTACAGAAACAAGTGCCTGTCATATATTATATATCACTTATTCTATGTCCCTCTCTTACTTTCTATAATAATTTCTTTGCCAAAATTTTGGTCCCATGTACATAAAAAATTACACTGGGTAAGAAAAAATGAAAACTTTGCAATCATAAATTTTATAAAACAGCTAGTCAAATATATACCATTGTATAAATTGATGTTCTAAACAATATATACTTTGATCTTTGAGTGTTTTAAAATGTTCGATTTCATTACCGTAAAATCTTTTTTAACCACCCCTACCCCTATAAGCACCCCCTAGACCTTTTTCAATCGTCGGGCAAAAAGGGCTCCCTGTGATTACAAATATCTTTGTAAAAATGAAAGCCTCGACTACAAGAATCATATCAAAAGTCTGCCATAATTTGAAGAAAGAGAAAATGAAACTTAGTAATTGGTTAATTCGCATGTAAAGTATTCCTGAAAGTGAAAGATTCTTAGAACGACCTAATCATTATGTATTAGTTACCTATGTTTGTTCTCCTTGTGGGATATATTCTCTAATTTTTTTGGTGGAAAAATAAATCATTGAGCATAATTTGAGTGGATTATCTTATGGGAAAGGAAAGTATGACTATTATTTGGTGGTTCTCTGAATATTACTTTTTTTTCAAAAGATTTAAATTAAAAGTTAAATATGACATTAAATATTATAACAAGAATACCAAAATAACCGCCCCTCTATTCACAATTTTCTAAGCACCTGGGGTGGTTAAAAAGGATTTTAGGCATGCATAAAAAATGTCATCAAATAATATCACCAGATTTAACATTGTTTAAACCATCATAAAGAAATTCAATACACAAGTGTAGGTAACATGTACTTATCATTTCAATCTGGAGGACTTCACCTTGATAGCAACTGATCCGCTGATGTTAATTAGAAGCACTCATTAAGTGCAGTTTACATTAAGTGCAGTTGATTAATTGATTGTACATGTGCCTGCAGTTTTACTAGTTCACTCAAATTGAGCAACAGCCAAATAAGCTGTTCTACTGTCTAAGCTACAACCACACAAGTTTACCTACTAATTGAGCCATACAAGCTTATCTACTGATTGAGCCACACAAGCTTATCTACTGATTGAGCCACACAAGCTTATCTACTGATTGAGCCACACAAGCTTATCTACTGATTGAGCCACACAAGCTTATCTACTGATTGAGCCACACAAGCTTATCTACTGATTGAGCCCACACAAGCTTATCTACTGATTGAGCCACACAAGTTTACCTACTAATTGAGCCATACAAGCTTATCTACTGATTGAGTCACACAAGCTTATCTACTGATTGAGCCACACAATCTTATCTACTGATTGAGCCACACAAGCTTATGTACTGATTGAGCCACACAAGCTTATCTACTGATTGATCCACACAAGCTTATAAATCTACTTATTGAGCCACACCAGAGTTGTGGAAAACTTTTTCAGATAGCCAGTCAATCGGACTGGAAAGAAGACAAAATAAGCCGGTCCGAAGCGATTTTTGCCGGTCCAAAATAGTAAGTCGCAAAATAAAAAAAAATCATAACATTTATTTACTTCATTACACATGAAGCCTTTATTTACTTCATTACACATGAAGCCCAGCCTTAATAATTTTGCCGATATATAGAAAACTCTAGAAAATATAGCTAATGTATGATTGTGCCTTCTCAATAATAACGTATGATGACGTTTTGTTTTTTTTTTAATTTGCCTGTCAAGGATATTTGGGTTGTGCCCCACAACTAAAAATGTTTGGCTGTGCCCCCCCCCCCCCCCCAACTGAAAATGCTTACTGCCTGATCCTTGAGAACATGACAACAAACTGACATTTATCAATACTTGTACCGAATTGAATGTTTCACTGGATTGCTGGCTATATGAATAATGCCCAAATAATCTCTTTGTTACATTAGTTGTATATCAAACTAAACATTCTAAACAACTATGTACTAATGGCTTGATATCTACAGAAAAGGTATCATTTGATATTAAATTGAAAATTTAAATATATACATTGTTCCTACCTCTGTCTTAAGTTTTGGTATTGTTTCTATTGTTACTTATTCCCAAGACCCCCCTCCCAGTTTTTCCTCTCTTCAATCTTTTGGAAAAGCTGTAGTATGCTTGCCATTTCATATTTTCTTATGGTTTGAGTTTCGATGACAGATCCTGTGGTTTGAATTAAATTGTATTGCATTTTTTTCTGCATTTTAATTAACAATTTACTATCAATATATATCTTTGTTTTTAAATATATCCTTTCGTGATTCAACCAGATATATCAAAACATGTTTGAAGAGCTGTAAAATTAGGAAACTTACTAGCCTTCAACATTTTAATTTGAGTAAGTCAAGATTAGGTAAGCCTTACTCAGTTTTATAGCGTACAACAGAAGTACGTCTCAAGTAAACCCGACTCAACTGGAGTTTAAACCCGGCTTACGTGATCCGCGGATCAGCGGCTGAGCTGTACTTATCTGAGCCATAGGTACGCAACCGGCCATTGGTCACACAGAACAAATGCTTTACTGACTAAGCAATACAAGGCAAACATAAGCAACAGAGGACTCATACTCCTTCCTGAGCCACACATGGCAAGTGCTCTACTGACTGGGCCATCACTGACAAATGCACACTATATGGCTGCAGGTCACATGTACCAATAAGCGATGACCAAAAGACATTATTGTTGTAATTAGTCATTACCTGTAGATACATGCATATTTCACTACTTCATGTGCATACCAATATTTGTATTAATCAATACACGAAGTAAGTCATGACTTCTTTATTTCTTTAATCTTATGGACAGAGAATCACTTTTCATAGGAACTGTTTCTCAAAGTTAAAGTGGTTTTTAGTACAATCTTTAATGTAAATTCCTAAGTTCAACTACAATGTAATTATCTTCTCTGAAATATCATACAGTACAGTAAACAGGTCCAGCACAATCTCTTGATTAAGCTATATAGCTTGAAATAGCTATATAGCTTTAATAAGCTATTCAAAATAGCTTGATAAAGCTATTTAAATGCAGGTTTTCCCAAAAATGTTATTTGTACAAAATAGACAAAAAGTCGCAAGTATTTGACTATTCATATATGTAATATGGGTTATCAAATCAACAACCAAAATCAAAGATAGTTCTAACATTGCAGCATTTGAATACTTTTGTACTTTTAAGCAAAAGATGAATTTCCATTGTTTGGGTAACTGTACACTACCTTGTGTGCGTTGAGGCATGGATAAGTACGATTGCTTCTCATTGTACTGAATTATTACCAATCAATTATCTTGTTGACCATAATTGACCTCCTTTATAATTTCATTGAAGAAGTAACTGTATCAATTGCTTTATATAGCCCCAAAACTTTTAGAACTTTGAGTACAAAGTCTCTTAAGGAGACGCAATTTGATGAGTGATTTTTACATCCATTATTTTCATAAGAGTTCAAGGTTGAATATCATCACTGCACCAAGGTGCGACTTTTTGTGCATACTTGGAAAATTACACATTTGAGAAAAAAGTGTGATAAAATAGCTAAATCAAGCTATTCTGAATAGCTTAATAAAGCTATATAGCTAAATCAAGCTATACAGCTTAATCAAGAGATTGTGCCGGACCTGGTAAATTCTTATTCAGCACTTATAAATACCTTACTCCTTGGTAAATTAACTCATTGGATTAGAACCTCCATGTTTGCAACATTGAGTTGGGTGGCATTGCAATTTTTGATAACTGTCAGCATTGAAATATAGCATTTTAAAAATAATTAATCTTCCTTGACTTTTACTTCAACAGATCTATATCAAAATTAAGAATATTCTTGCTTATAAATCGCTTTTTCTAACTGTATAGTCTCGATCTACACCAAGCACATGGTTGACTGATGTTTTCTTAGTTTACGGTTTCATGCACAAACGTAATCCTGTCAGTATGCGACCGGTAATAGTCTGATCTATCTTGACCATTTTGCATTACTTACCCAAGATGGCAAATCTTCCACACGAGCTAAAATAGCTTTCTGTTCATCTCTTGCAGTGTCTTGCCGAATTTCTATCTGTAATTTCTTGCGCTGACCCTGACGTTCTTTCCACACATATAAAACCAACCCGATCAGCAGCCAACTGGGGCTGAAGTTGAAGTAACCAGACAGCCAAACTCCAACTGCAACTCCTGCAAGCTTGAAATATTTTAGGACAACATTCACGAGCTGAGTTTCCTCGATTCCCGATTTTCTCTGCGATTTCGGTGGTGTATCCGACATCGTAAAATAGAACTTTTATATGCCTTTTTTACAATCACTCGTCTGTAATAACCCTGCACATCAACTTCATATCAGACAACCCACCTGAACGGACGAGTCTACTGCCTTCTAAGGGGTTATCAAAACAAGTCTGAATAATTTTATTCGGATAAAATTGGGCTGGGCTAATGGCATGTCATCTTGTCTTATTATTTCTATCTTTTTAAAAAAATATATAATAATGTTTAAATACACAAATCAATTTAAATATAAAATCTTATATACTTTCAGTTACTAAGTCCTCTACCTAAGAAAATGGAACCAAGGTTATTCTTAGATCGGGATCAAAATACACTTTTCAATTCCAAGATGGAAGAAAAAGAAACACACGAGGACCAAACTGTAGAAAAGAAACCAAAGAAGAAGCGAAAACTCCAAGAACCCGGTGTCATCTATTTGAGTAAAATACCAGCATTAATGAATGTAAAAACTATCAAAGACATTTTTAGTCAATATGGCGAAATAGGAAAGGTCCTCCTCCAACCTAATGGTAATCACTTTTCTGTGCGAAAATTCATGTCTGTTTGGTACATGTATCGAGAGGAGACGTGACTCTCTAGTTAGAGTATTTTTTTTCTTCTATTTATGGGGTTGTGGGGTTTTTTTTCTTAAGAGGCAAACTATAAAGACAAAGGGACTTTTTAAATAAGTATTAACAGGTACGGAAAACTGTATAAATAATATGTTGACGATGCGATCATGCGACCGTTAGAGCAAGCGCAGATGCCTATTCAGTTTTAAAGCTGAACATGATTTGTAAAAGCAATGTGTCCGCCATTTTTGTTCAGATTCTCACTGTATCTGAGGACCCCTATATAAAGGGCCTGACTTGAACACTGTTCAGTATAATCAGTTGATGCCGGTGTAGACGGATGTATGCTATGCAGCACTCGGTAGCGACAAAAATAACTGTAATACCTTGTCTAATGCAAGAAAGTAAGATACAAAAGAAACTTACAATTATAGTTGTACAGGTCAGTGCAGTATACATACAAATACAGATACATATAACTACAATGAAATGTAAACAAAGGTAATGCAAGATAACCAGTACAAACACGGGTCGCCATTCCATGCCTATACCCGTGACAATAAAGCAGTCAGGTGTAACAAATGCAAAGAGTATACCCTGGTGTTGATGTATCGTAGATATAATATCAAAAATGGCGTATGCCTATTTACAAGTTGTGTTCAGCTTTAATTTAGATCGGGCTCTTCAAACCGCACGTGACATTTGGTCTAGACTCCGATGTCACATGAAGTCGTATTTAAGTTGCATTACCAAAACAAAGTCTGAACAGTGCTAATTTTAATAAAGAATGTTATTCTAGTATTTATCTGCTGTATATTTATTAAACCATATTGAGTTAATTTTTTTCTTGGAACTTCTGGGTACCGTGAGAACTTATTTTGCAGTGAGATGCAATTCGCACAGCATTATGGGACCACAGGTAACTGCAGAAAAAATTCATTTGGATCAATGTGCAAAGTCCGAATTTTCTCCTCGCTCTGGCGTTGCTTTAAGATCTTGCAGTGACGAGTGGTGCTCTGCGCCGCTCACTGTTAACAGGGACATATATTATTTCAGAGTTATGGAAAACTTTTTCAAATAACCAGTCATTCAGACTGGCAAGAACACAAAATAAGCCAGTCCAAAGTGATTTTAGGCAATCCGAAATCTTAAGTCGCAAAAATACAATAAAAAAAAATACATAAAATTTATTTACTTCATTACACATCTTTTTACTTCATAATATAACATTTACTCAGTCTCCATTTCTAAGTCTTTGTCCGTTTTTGGTTTTATAACACAATACTAGATTTACCTCTTTTGGGCAGGTGACAATACTAATTCAGCATAGTATATGTAATTTTGTTGAAACATTTATGCATTGGGGAATTTATATCAACCTAGAAAATGTATATGAGAAATTCTGTGCATCGATAATGAAGATACATGTATCAACACGATCAGTGAAAAAGCAAAATCCAGGACAGTTTGGAGTACTAGATTTACCGCTTGCCCCAATTGTGTTTGAATTCTTTCTGTTAAGATTTGTCATATTTAGCTTTGTTTTCATCTGTAACTTTATGTTTTTTACCTGGTTTCTTGTGTAAAGAAAAAGCAATTGCAATTTATATTTTCTATGGTAATTGGGCTGGAAGTGCATAGATGATAACAGGAAAATCATAAACGAAACTTAACCAAAAAAAGGCCATGCAGTCATTTGGACTGACATCAATGTCATTTTTACCGGTCACATGTATTTTTAATTGGTTTTGCCGGAATGACCAGTAGTTTTCCACAACTTTGTTATTTAGTATAGGGATAAAGGGAGACTAAAATAGGCTGAGCCTTGATCCTGCCCGATCCCATTCACTTCTTTGAATAAAGATAGTGTTTAGATTAAATATATTATTTAGTATATTGGGCATTGGGATTAATAAGTTTTAAGTACTGTAGAAGCACAAATTTTTGTGGGAATAAAATTTGGTTGATTTGTCCTCTAAAAAGGGTTCGTGGGCATTTAATTTCGTTGTTTAAAAGTAACCCTATTCAATATATAGTCATATAAAAATTTCGTGTGGGATTTAATTTCGTTGCTAATTGTTAACCAAATAAATGAAATTCAATCCCCAACAAATATTTCTGCTTTTACAGTATAATATAAATACAGCGTTCAACATTAATGTTTGTCTGATTGTCCGTGTCCAGATCATTTTGTGATTAGACAAGTCAATCTGGAGACTCTCTTGTTCTGATTGGACAAGTTACTCTTTTACAAGATAGAAAGTACTATTATTAAAATGATATGTGTCCCACAAAACAGCTAGGTTTAATGAATTTGTTCCTTGTGTTGGCAATGTAGCAAAATATACAATGGCAGATAATTCTAACCTACATGTTTACTACTAACAATCCAGAGAGTTCTGAATGTCAATATGGCATGTAAATTTCAAGCGAGAAAACATATTGAGAAAATGAGAGTTAAATTTTCATCTCTATATGGATTATTTTTTAGGGTAAGAGCCATATATACAAGCTCACACAGGGATCGACATTAACGGTTGTCCGATTGCCCAGGACAAGCAAATTCTCAGTTCGGGCAAGTGAAATTGTCTACGAACTAGTCCGATCGGGCAAGTGAATTTTTCTTATATAAATGTACATATTTATATAGTTTACATTAATTTATAAAAAAAATAAAATGAACACTTGATTCAGCCACGCACCTGACTGACAATGCTTTTGTATTCAAAATTCCTTGGCAGCGTTTCTGGATTATACTGCTCATCTAAAAATCGGCTTCGTTATTTTCTTTCGTAGTAAATACGCTCTACGTCTAATAAAATTTTGTTAACTTCTTATTAGGAAATTAGATTATTTATTCAAGCACAGAATATAATTATAGTGTAACACGATGTATCCTGATCAAGATAAGATGCATGTTTCGTAGCAACTATATTCCGTAAGCATTGCTTCACTGTTATCTCTGAAAATCACGGATCACAAAAGGATCCTACCAAAATATTTTTTTAAAAATATGAATTTTATTAAAAGAAAACGGAGGGTTATTGTTGCATGACAGTGTGTGTTAACAGGTTAAATTTACAAGTACAGTGGTATACATTTATGTACAAATGCAGCTTGCATCGACATTTTTCAGGTAGCTCAACTTGCCAAATTGACAGTAGTGTATTTTGTCACATTTTTCCTAGCATAACATTAACAGTAATTAATAATTTTCTTCTGAAGTTCTTTCCTAATTTTGGGCAACCAAGTTTTGCATTCGGACAAGCCAAAGTTTGAGATCACTTGCCCGAAGGGCAAGTGAATTTGAAAGTTTATGTCTATCCCTGAGAGCAAAAGGTTTGTTTTGATTAATTTGGTAGTTATTTTCAGTGCAATTCCTTTTGTATTCTTAAAAATGGTTTTGGAGCTGATCCGCTCTGATTTGCTACATTTTAACTATATGGGACTTATTCTAACTGTGGTGAGGGCTTGTCCTGAGACACAGTTAGATTATTCTATCTACTGTTTTACCATTATGGAATGTTGTGAAAAAAAAATCTCACAAAATTCATTTGCACTGTTTGGAATCTTACAAACAATATTGGTTATGCTTTCTTTTTAACTTTAATACAGAAAAAGCTCCAAACACAAAAAAAGGACGACTATTCACAGAGGGATGGGTGGAGTTTTTGGATAAGAAAATTGCAAAACAAGTAGCAGCAAACCTAAATAATACCCAGATTGGAGGAAAAAAGAAAAGCCGTTGGCATGAAGAGCTATGGAATATAAAATACCTTCACAGGTAATCTGTTATTGTGTATTTCGAATAGAAGTTTAATGTTGTATATGTAAACCATAGAGTTAGCTTATCATACCATGATAATTTGTGTATTAAGCATAAAACAGTAAAAAAAAAATACTTACAATACAGATAATTTCAAATTTTTTTTAAATCCTGGGGACATATATATATGTAAATAAATTTTTTATTGATATTCTAAATTTTTTAATGCCCTGCCATGGCGGGGGCATTTAGTGTTTGTCATGTCCATTTTTCGTCTGTCCATACTTCCATCGTTCTGTCCTTCAGTCTGTCATTCCGTCACACTTTGCATTTATCTCAGTTTCAAAGAAACTATTCAAGATATCTGTATCAAACTTCATATACCGATACATATCTGTATCAAACTTCATATGCCGATACATATCTGTATCAAACTTCATATGCCGATACATATCTGTATCAAACTTCATATGCCGATACATATCTGTATCAAACTTCATATGCCGATACATATCTGTATCAAACTTCATATACCGATACATATCTGTATCAAACTTCATATACCGATACATATCTGTATCAAACTTCATATACCGATACATATCTGTATCAAACTTCATATACCGATACATATCTGTATCAAACTTCATATGCCGATACATATCTGTATCAAACTTCATATACCGATACATATCTGTATCAAACTTCATATGCCGATACATATCTGTATCAAACTTCATATACCGATACATATCTGTATCAAACTTCATATACCGATACATATTGTTGAGAGCTATTCAAATGTTTCAACATTTTTTGACTTTGACCTTGTCCTCTACTGAAATTTGTATTTAGCTTAGTTTCAAAGAACTATTCAAGATATTTTAATATGAGCTTATGCACTGATACATAATTTGGTGAGATTTATTAACTGTGTCCTTTTTTTTTACCTTGACCTTCCTAGTGACCTTTGACTCTACTATTCATTGTATATAACTCAGATTTAAAGGAAACCATTCAATATATTTTCATCAAACTTCATACACTATTACAAATTTTCATGATTGTTGAAAACTAATGAGCCCTAGGCTGGGCATTCCTGTCCTATGGACATATTTATGGGTTTTTAGCTCACCTCGACGAAGTCGAGATGAGCTTATGCTATACCCCCGGCGTCGGCGTCAGCGTTAGCGTCGGCGTTCCAGGTTAAAGTTTTAGGAGCAAGTCCCATTCCCAAGTAACTATAAGCCCTACCTGGACCAAACTTGCATGGATGATGCATCTAGGGATGGACACTACCACACTTGCTTCGGATGCTGGATCTGACCTAGATTTTCCGGATGAGTGACCAGGTTAAAGTTTTAGGAGCAGGTCCATTCCCAAGTAACTATAAGCCCTACCTGGACCAAACTTGCATGGATGATGCATGTAGGGATGGACACTACTACACTTGCTTGGATGCTGGATCTGACCTAGATTTTCCAGATGAGTGACCAGGTTAAAGTTTTAGGAGCAGGTCCATTCCCAAGTAACTATAAGCCCTACCTGGACCAAACTTGCATGGATGATGCATCTAGGGATGGACACTACCGAACTTGCTTCGGATGCTGGATCTGACCTAGATTTTCCAGATGAGTGACCAAGTTAAAGTTTTAGGAGCAGGTCCATTCCTAAGTAACTATAAGCCCTACCTGGATTAAAATTGCATGGATGATGCATCTAGGGATGGACACTACCACACTTGCTTCGGATGCTGGATCTGACCTAGATTTTCCGGATGAGTGACCAGGTTAAAGTTTTAGGAGCAGGTCCATTCCCAAGTAACTATAAGCCCTACCTGGACCAAACTTGCATGGATGATGCATCTAGGGATGGACACTACCACACATGCTTCGGATGCTGGATCTGACCTAGATTTTCCAGATGAGTGACCAGGTTAAAGTTTTAGGAGCAGGTCCATTCCCAAGTAACTATAAGCCCTACCTGGATTAAAATTGCATGGATGATGCATGTAGGGATGGACACTACTACACTTGCTTGGATGCTGGATCTGACCTAGATTTTCCAGATGAGTGACCAGGTTAAAGTTTTAGGAGCAGGTCCATTCCCAAGTAACTATAAGCCCTACCTGGACCAAACTTGCATGGATGATGCATCTAGGGATGGACACGACCAAACTTGCTTCGGATGCTGAATCAGACCTAGATTTTCCAGATGAGTGACCAAATTAAAGTTATAGGAGCAGGTCCATTCCTAAGTAACTATAAGCCGTACTTGATCAAACTTGCATGGATGATGCATCTAGGGATGGACACTACCACACTTGCTTCGAATGCTGGATCTGACCTACATTTTCCACATGTGAGACCAGGTATAGATTTAGGAGTAGTCCCATTCCCAAGTAACTATAAGCCCTACCTCGACCAAACTTTCATGGATGATGCATCTAGGGATGTACACTAACCAACCTGCTTCGAATGCTGGATCTGACCTAGATTTTCCACATGAGTGAATTTTAGCCATATTTTAACCAAATTAGCATGGATGTTGTATCTAGGGATGGACACTTCCAGACTTGCTTTGGATTCTGAATCTGACTTACATTTTCCAGATGAGTGACCAGGGTAATTTTTTTTGAGTAGCTATATAAAATTATGGCCTTTTATGATTAAACTTGCATAGATGGTGCATCTAAGGATGAAAACTTCCAGACTTGCTTTGGATGTTGGAACTGACCAAAATTTTCTTGATTACTAAACAGGTCAAAAGTTTTTTGAGCAGGTCTATAATTAAATCAAACTTGCATGGATATTGATCTTGGGATGTACCCTAACTAGATAAAAAATATGATGTGAAATTTGCTTTACATGTAGATAACATTCGTCGAGGTGAGCTTCATAATCTTTGATTACCTATGTTTTAATTATGCATGTGTGACTTACATTTAGGTTCCATAACTTTCTCTGATTAGTTACACATTTTTCTACAACTGGAGATCCTTAATCTTTTTTTAATTTTCAAGAGACATGAAGCTTGCTGATTATGTTTAAACAATTAAAAAAAAAATAAAGAATCTGATACCCCATTCATACGACACGATTTGCATACCTCAGTATATTTTACACATATGTAAATTTACTTACATGTGCAATTTTTGTCGTATGAACTGATTTGCTCATATGCAAATTATGCACAGTTAAGTAAATTTGCACCTGGTCAGGACAAGGTGTAAATTAACTTTTGCATACACGTTGTCGCAAAATATTTGCTCCCGTGTGTAAAATTTGTCCTATGAACACGCAGCAAATTTACTTATGTAAGTTTTTCGTCATGTGTATTGCATCAATCTCCGTTTTAAGTGTTGTTATGGTTATATTTACATTTCAAATGTCTTTGTCCGAGATAAAATTACAAATTATAAAAATACTTTATTTCTACATAAATCTACTGGTTTTAGGCGCGGTTAAAAAAAATCACGTGCGGGGCGGGACAAATAGAGACAGAAGCGGGGCTATTAACACGGGAATTTGCAGAATCAGGAGCATGTAAATATAAGGAATAACTGTCAGATTTTTTGGATTCATGACGATGATCAATCGATTGGTTTGCTTGATAATTTTATGCATAAACGCCTTCGGCTTTATGCAAATTATCACGCAAGCCACTCGATTGATCACATCATGAATCCAAAAAATTAGACAGTTATTCCTTAAGTATATGCATTGGCATGTAAAATATCAGTCGGTAAACATGGCTGCTAGAAAGTAAAGCTCTAAAAATACACGGATTTTCAAGGGTCAATCTTGCGCTAAGTAAACAAAAATTAAAAGTGAACTGAGTTACTGTAAGGGTAGATCTGTTGGTGTATGACTTCAAAAGCCAAGTCTTCAAAGGGTATACGCTCTGTCGCCGAGAAGTACTACTAGCATAGTAATTTCTCCAAACTGCTTTCTCCACTCTGGAAACAAGGAACCATTATCTTCTCTGAAATGAATTTTCGAATATGCAAAACGCGGGCATCGTGACCCTTCCTGGCAAACCTGTTTATGTCTCTAAAGATATAGCTGTGGTCGCAAACACCCTGCAGATTCAATGAGTAGAATCCCTTCCTTTCAAGTAGTCTCCGTGTGAATGCTTAGGAGCTATGATAGGAATATGCGTGCCATCAATCGCTCCACCATAGTTTAGCCCTTGATGACTTTCTTCATCCTTTCTCAGTTTTAAACTGAGGCAGGCTTCTGACAGATAAGTTTATGTTACAAGGATTTAAACAACCTCGTTTCAAGTCAGCATTTGGTAAATAGATAGATTTCATATGACACATTTTCAATTCGAGTTATTTCCCTTGGTCGCCATCTTGGAGATCAAACTGGTATTTGAGCAGAAATATAAGGGCAAAAATCTTTGAATTACTAAACCTATGAACTTTTTTAACATATATTCGTAAGAAAAACTGTGTTATCTTCGCCTCATTGTCCAGTATGAGAAGTTTAAATTGGTTGAATTATGAAGGAATCTGGCCTTGTTAGCGCCCAATATGGCGGCAGACGGAAAATTACTCTATGGTCATTATAATGATCTTATTAGCAAATATAATCTATCATTGGATCATATTTTGGCTGACTTCTTTCATACCAATTGTTAGGACTTTGTTTATACTTAATTTGACTACAGAATGATCAATATATAAGGCTTATGGCAGGTGTGACCGGTCGACAGGGAATGCTTACTCCTCCTAGGTACCTGATCCCACCACCGGAATTTCCAGGGGTCCGTGTTTATTCCCTCTTCACATATTTGTATTGATCAAAGATTTTTGAGATCGATCACAGTTTGTTATCTTCACCCTTTTCATTCTCCTTCTGGAAAATACACATATTCTTCAAGCAGATATTCCATAGTGGCCTCGTAAACTCGATGTTTGCAATCATACATGGTATAATACTTTATTTCTACATAAATCTACTGGTTTTAGGCGCGGTTAAAAAAAATCACGTGCGGGGCGGGACAAATAGAGACAGAAGCGGGGCTATTAACACGGGAATTTGCAGAATCAGGAGCATGTAAATATAAGGAATAACTGTCAGATTTTTTGGATTCATGACGATGATCAATCGATTGGCTTGCGTGATAATTTTATACACCAAAATGATTTCCAATCGTACGTCCCTTATTCCGCTGAAGACGCTAACCGGTAGATGGTAACAGCCACCTTCTTCTTTACATCTAACGGCTCTTCTACAGTCTTTGGGTCGGGACAAAAGCATTTCCCAACTTCTCACAAAATTTTATGAAATTTATGAAATTTTATGAAATTTTCCTTAAACATTTGAAAATTCTTATACCAATTTTCGTCCTTTATGTCATAAAGAACGGTTTTGTCGTACCAATTTTTGGATCGGATTTTTCTTCTACTTTCTTTGATGAACATCCAAAAGTTAATCCTATACCTAAATAGTAAGTTAATCCTATACCCAAATAGTAGTTTTTTCTGTGAAAATTTACAAGTCTGAAGCGGCCCATCTCCTTATTTTAAATGACAATTTGAGGATTTACTTATGGTACATAAATCTCGTCTGAACGCATAGCAAATTAACTTTTACTTATGTGTGTAAATTTACTCATCTGTAAATTTGCACACATAAGCAAATTTTCGTCGTATGAATGGGGTATGAGTTAGAGAGAAGCCAATTTGGTGAGCATACTATAGGGAACCATCCCCCCCATCACACAAATGCATTTCTTCAAGCTGTCTGTACATTTTTACTGTGAAGATCTCATACACTCCAGAATTTTTTTGTACAATGTGACATCACAGATGAAAAGTGTGTGACAATGATTATGACAACAACCAATCATATGTTTGTTTGAATTTCTCTCATATGTTACAGAAACAAAAAAAAAACTAACAAACAAACAAAGACTGTAATGGAAGAAATTATATTCTTTAATAGTAAGAAAAAGTTCATATGATTTTAAAAGGAGAATGCATCAGAAATACATTACAGGATGATTTATTTATGTTTTAATAGATGCATTTGAATTTAAATGCATCTTAAAGTAGCTATTGCTTGTATATATTGCATATACAAATATATTTTTAGCCTAAAAGCTTTTATCTACAGGTTTAAGTGGGCTCATTTAAATGAGAGACTTGCGTATGAAAAAGCTGTGCACAAACAGAGACTTAGGACAGAGATAGCTCAAGTGAAGCGTGTCGCCAACTTTCACATTCAAAATGCCGAGAAGAGACAGAAACAAAGAGCCATTGAGGAGAGAAAACAGAGACAGGGGAAAAGTGTGGGAGGAGATAAAGAGGAGGGGGATTATGAGATATTTCAGAGGGAGACAGAGGAGGATACTGTGACAAGGAAGAGGAAGTTAGACTCTGTAGGAGAAACAGGCAAAACAGGAAAAAGGAAGAAGGACGATATCAATAAGAAATCATTCTTTGCCAGAACTTCCTTAATAAAAAGTATATTTTCAGGAGGTCTAAATGAAGATGATTAAGATATCATCTTTTCAAGAGTAATAGTGAAAACAATTCAGTTTTACACTCATATAAGTATTGAAGTAATGAGATGTGGGTTTGTTTGGGTTTTTTTTTTTTCATTTTAATGGATACCAGCTTCTTGAGGCAAAAAAAAAAAATGTTCATTGTTTGTAAAGATAAAGAGTCTTTGATCCTTTTTCTGAAATTGTGTGATATGCACATCCTTCCTCGATACTGGGAAAGATGGTTTACAATGTTTATATATAGTAAAGATGGTTACAGTGTTGATGGTAAAGTGATCATTAAGAGTTATGTAGTACATGATCAAAATCATTGTTCTTCAATTTTTTTTTTCATTTTGATCCAGTTCAATTTTGACTTAATCTTTAAATAGTTCAGACCTATAGGGTTGTGTATTTTGAAGTATTTCAAATGGAGCAAATTTAAATGGGAAAGTGAATTATAGCAGTTACGTTTTAGAGGAGCTTTCACAAATTATAGCTGATACATATTCTTAAATCATGTTTTTAGAAAGATATGTAATGCTTGCATCGAATTTTATGTGAGGAAAATAATTTAAAAAAATTAAAAATTATGTTAATCAGTAGATGTATATACTTTTTAGGTAATGTTTAACCTTAAAAAGGCAGTAAAATTGAATTTTCAGTTTTTCAAAAGAAGTAGGGCATAACATTTCCAAGAACTGAATTTGCCTGCTGTCAAGAAAATAAAACGTAAAAATGTGTAACTTCTAAAAATTTAAACTTCGGTAATTTGATAATTGTTTGTGGTTTATTATTATTATTTTTAAGGAAGAATCTGCCATTATCCAAATTTTACTGGTATTTGTGGTTCAGTTGGAAAAAATCCTTATAAATCCTACTTATTGCAAGGGAGGGGGGGATAACAGATTACATGTGAGGATTTTCAGTGACTTGCCTCTGTTTTATTTGTTGGTTTTCAATAAATATGTTCATTGATTCATTCATTTTTTCTCTCATTTGCTGATGCAATCATTGATTTTTGCAATGGGTTATCTCTCTTTGCACTGTTGGCGTATTAAAAGTTGTTTCGAAGTTAAACTAATTGTCCTGAGTCATACATGCAGAACGTAATATAATTGCAATAAAACTGCAATATTCCTTAGTAGTATGCAGCTGTTATGTACTAATCTTAGCTTTTCGTTTCCTGGATTACCTTTAGATTAGTAATGTCTAGACATGCAGTGCTATCTTCTAGATGTTACACGAAAAAAAAAAGATTGAGTTGGGGAAAGAACAGGCACGTAATATCAGGGGGGCCGGGGGGGCTGTAACCCCCCCCCCCACTTATTTCCAGACATAAGTTTTTCCATAGGAAATGTTCATTGAAAGTCCGGTTGCCCCCCCCCCCTCTTTTGGTTGCAGTATTGTCAAATAAGGGTAATATAAGGGGAATGCTGTGTTCGAGTAAAAAAAATTGGGGGTAGAAGTTGGAATCTAACCCAACCCCCCAACCCCAACCCCCACGAAAAAGGATTTCCGAGTTTGCACAATTTTCCTTTTTTCCTCGGGTTGCCCCCCCCCCCCCCTTTTCAAAAACGATGCTACGTCTCTGAAGAAGACTCATATTCTGAATCAAAAGATTTGATGTCATTAAACTTATAAAAAAAAAAAGTTGTCGTTTTTATTAATGCATTCTGTCGCTGTTAAAAATGAAAGCTTCAATAGAATGACATCTGTAAATTTTGAAAACATGACATTTCTATGATAAAAAGACCTATTCTTTTTACGCACTTCTGTCATATATTTTTGTATGAAGATTCTACAAATTTTTTTGTCCACATGAACCTTAACCTTTTTAGGCTGCATTTCATTTCCGGAATTTTTTAAAATATTGAACTTTTAATTTCCACATTTTGTAGTTTTCATTTCCGACGTTTTAAAGTTTTCATCTCCGACATTTATCATATAGTACTTTTCCGGCAGTGATAACAGAATTGAAACGTCCCTTATAAAAAAAATTAAAGAATAAATCAAGAATAATTCATTGATTTCCAAATAATAAGTTTTGCTTAGCTTTGAAGCCTTGAGATCAGATAGGTTAAGATGTTATAATTCAGTGGACATTAAATTTGGTGAACAAAAATTGCATGCTCATTAACTAGTAACTTTTTACTAGACTTAGTGCTGCATCTATTGTAATGTTTTTAATCGGAAAATGGGGTTTTAGATAAGTGTAATATTTATATCCTGTTAAAATTCTATTTCTACCTACTTGGTTAACGTTCCAAAAATTCCGGAAATGTCAAAAAAAAAAAAATAAATAAATAAATGTCGGAAATGAAAATAAAAAATGTCGGAAATGAAAACAAAAAATGTGGGAAATGCAATGCAAAATTTTGGAAATGAAATGCAGCGGTAGCATCGTTTTTCAGAGTGGGGAGGGGGGGGGGGGGTCAAAAAATAACTGACAAGCGAAAAAACATTCTAGAAAAAGAAAAAAAAATAACTTTATCAAACAAAACAAGGGGGACAACCCATTTTGTAGGGAGGGGTAGACAGCTCCAACAAATCTCAACAACAAAAATTATTTGATACATGGACGTTATATAGAGGTTTTGAATGTACTGCCAAAAAATGGGGGGGGTGCCTTTCAGTTAGAATTTCCCAATTAAAAGAAAAAGAATATTTTCAGGAAAAGGGTAAGCCCCGCCTGACACTACGTGCCTGCGTTTCGGCTTACTCCTCACTGCCAATTAAGGCAAGATACGTAACTAAATTCCTCGTCTCCCATAAAAGATTAAGAAGAGAGGAAAGCACGGGGGGCTAGCGGTAGTGTTCCTTGACCTTAAAATGGGTGGGGCCAGGGGATAATTGTTTTTCTGCACACTCTCACTATTTGTCAACTATAGATTTGCCTGTCTCGTGATATTTCTTATATATTTCTTAACTTTTTTTGTCAGATCTGAATAAAACTGAGCGATAGTACATTATACCTAACGATAGTACGTCTTTCAGTGCATCAAGTAGGGTGAATTCACCATGCATCGGACACCCTCGCACTTCAACAAGTTCTAGCGATATCGCTACCGACCGAATATTATCAAAATGGAACTTAATATGTAGTATGTGGTTAAAATATAAATTTTTGACACAACCGCGCCTTATTTATTGAGAAAATATCATTTAAAACCGATTTTTTCGGAATAAGCAAGAATTCACCATGGATCGGACAATATTCACCATGCATCGGACATACGATATTTAAACCAGAAAAATATCATACCTTGATCTCCGTGCTTTAAAATGAGTGATATCGAAACATTTTTATCTTTTATTTAAAAATTAAACTTCTAATTAAATTTGAATGACTTTTTCGATCCACAAATGTGAAGAGATTTTAGTTGCATCACATCGCCTTAGAAAGGCTTTACAGTACTAAGTAATATGGCAACTCGCGCCTTTGTCTCGTGGGTTATCATCATCTAGTTTAAAGAAATAAATTGAGTCCACTTCTAGTCGTCATATATCGATTATTTGTATTTTCACTGAATATTTAGAGTTTCTATTTTTTATTTCCGTAAAAAAACAGCTGTCATTTGGGTTTTATATGAAAATGGAAGTGATTACCCATGCATCGGAAAGTGTCCGATGCATGGTTAATTTGTGTCCGATGTACGGTGAAATAAATATACTAGATAAAAACAACTGTAAAATATATTATTCAAACATTGAAGTAAAATTTTTGAAAAATTTCTGTAAAATAATCAATTATTGATAAATTTTACCTAGGTCCGACCCGTTCCGTTGACGTCTATTTAAAAGAACGACAACTCTAAAAATTGCAAAATCGTAAAATTCTGGTTACTCCCCTTTGATGATGCAAAATATGACGTAACTTCAAGGCCATTCTTGTGGTATTTTTATCACAACATGAAAATAAAAATCGGCATCATTAAAAAGTTTAAATCTTCCCCTTTAAGACAGAAACAAGTAAAAACACGAGGAGACTCGGGTTCAATGAAAGTTTATTGCTTAAAGTTGTCCGAAGCAAGGTATGTGTCCGATGCATGGTTAACTCACCCTACCTTAATTTTGTTCCACTTTCATTGTGATTATTACTTTCGCTTTATGTAAAATCGAATCAGTTTGTTTTTTAAATTACTTATTTCTAAATGCTACTCCCCTCTCTCCGCTTTTAATGTCAAGAAATGATTCCTTTATGAAAAAATTTCAAAAGAAAACGATACATATTTTGTTCATACTATACACTTATACGTCTGACCCAATAGAGCTACAGTCTCAGCAGAGACTTTGTTTTGATAGAAAATCAACATATTGTTGAAGGATCAAAGAATGTGGAATATATACTTGACACATGACACTCTGCATACAACCATACTTCCTAGAACTTGGTAGTCCTCTTCCTAAAAAGGTTTTTACAGAGTAAGGAAGTCAGATATTTAAGAGAACATCTAAAGGGGGGATAGCCTTTAGTAGATAAGGAAAATGGCCCAGTGACGGAATCAACATTTACATTCACTTATACTTTATTACATTGTACTTTATCTTTTAATCATATTAACTTTTTTAGGTTAAATCCGTTATAATGTAATGAATTAAAAGTTTTGTGTCGACAAGGAAAGTCTACATCTTCAGTAGGGGGAGGCTCGTTACACGTCAATTTGTCACTTTTGGTCGGGGGACCCACGTAACCCTGCTTTTATCACTTCCCTAGCACACTAACGTGCGGTCATTTATAACAATTAATAGCAGAGCTCATCTAGGTAAATAAGCAAGAGTATTTATGTTCACTCAAGAGATTTTCTCCGTCGAATCATGGGGAATTTTCTTCTGGTCTGTGACTCTGCGACACGGGGCGATTGAAGTGGAATGCAAATAGACGTGTCTAGTGAAAGCCAGTAGATCACAGCTTTGTTTAAAGTGTGCATCGGAATAGGAAAACAAAATGTAGTGGCATTTACCCCACGTGAAGGCTAATTAAATCTGATCATAGCAAGTTATGTAATAATGAAAGGAAGAAGGCAAAATTTTGTTAATTTGATATAAAACACTACCAGATGAATTTATTCAAAAGTGGTCCAGTGATATAAATGCATGTAACTCCTCAAAGGGACAAGAGTACGGAATCTTGAAGCAAAACTTTGGAATTGAAAAATACATTGATAAGTTAACTCCTACAAATTTAATTTTAGAAAAATACTTTAAAATTCCATACAGCAAACCATCGTCTTACAGTAGAAAATTGGATACCACTTTGAAAGACTTTGTACATTGTGTAACAGTGTAGTAGTTTTCAAGTGGTTGATGAAATTTTTTTTATTATATCTTAACAACAAAATTACAGGATGCGGTATGATGAAAAGTTAATTGAAATAGTAACAGAATTTAACTATTTGGGAGTCGTATTAAATCCGTTTTTTAATAGAAAAAAGAAAATAGACGAAAAGACAACAAAAGCATTACACATGTATGGAGTATTAACCAAACGACGATTACCTAATTATCTATACAGTGTCAACTTGATATTTGACAAAATTGTTCAACCTATATTGTTAAATGGATGTGTAGTTTCAGCATATTTTCAAATAATGTAATTATAGAAAGAGTTCTCCTAAAATTTTGTAAATTTTTACTCCATTTGAAAGATTCAACTCCAGATAACATGATATATGGTGAACTTGGTCGATACCTCTTGGAAATTCAAATGAAAGCACATGCATGATATCTTACTGGTCAAAATTAATTACTGGAAAGGAAACAAAAATTGCAAATTCATGCAATAAGTTAGGCTTTATTATAAATCAAGAAATAGGAGGGAAAAAAGGATGGACTGAAAATATTAGAAATATTTTGAATAATTGTGGACTTTCTAATATTTGGATGGAACAAAGCTAAAGAACTAGTAATATAGAATGGTTAAAGGCGAAATTGAAACTCACATAAATTGATCAATTCAAACAAAGTTGGCAATCAATT